GGAGCCCCTAGTAGCGTCCTTGCTCCTAGTAGTGAGGCCAGGAGCCCCTAGTAGCGTCCTTGCTCCTAGTAGTAAGGCCAGGAGCCCCTAGTAGCGTCCTTACTCCTAGTAGTATGGCCAGGAGCCGGTAGTAGCGTCCTTGCTCCTAGTAGTATGGCCAGGAGCCCCTAGTAGCGTGCTTTCTCCTAGTAGTAGCGTCCTTGCTCGTAGTATGGCCAGGAGCCCCTAGTAGCTTCTTGTTACTGGTAGTATGGCCAGGAGCCCCTAGTAGCGTCCTTGCTCCTAGTACTATGGCAGGAGCTCTAGTAGTTTCTTGTTACTAGTAGTGAGGCCATAGCGTCCTTGGTCGTAGTAGTAAGGCCAGGAGCCAGGAGCCCCTAGTAGCGCCCTTGCTCCTAGTAGTAAGGCCAGGAGCTCCTAGTAGTATGGCCAGGAGCCCCTAGTATCGTCCTTGTTGGTTGAAGAAAAGATGTCTTAGTTGGAAATCCTGTTGAACAGAACTGATAAGCTGATACCTTATATCTTTTCTCATGCTTCCAGAGCCTTTCTTTATACTTCAGATGCCAACTGTTTTTTTGTTCTTGTTATATACATGTTTTTTCAGCATCAGGCAATGTGGAAAGAAGGCTCCAGGGCAGCAGCTTTAAAGCAAATCGAGGCAACTCTGACCTGTGCCTTCGACGCTTCGGGTTAAGTTTCCCTAAAAACCTAGGAACCAAATCATTAGCGCGAGCTATCCTGAGTCCTAATTAAGTAGTGGCTACTTAAGCTACTAGCTACCTCTCCCTTACTGATATATAAGTAGGCGCCTACTTAATCCTACTTATACAATTAAGTAGGGAGCGGGGGCAGTGGGCTAAAAAAAGAAGCTGTTTTCCTTTTTTGCTCTTCAACGGTTTTCTTTGCTCTTCAATCGATGCAGATCGACGGAGCAGGTGGCACTGCGGATGGTCACCCAGCCGGACGACTTGTTGGCCTTGCAGGAAAGCATCCTAAGTGAGGTTGATGCCTCGAGAAATCCATCTCGCAGCAGTTCCAAGACAGGTGGGCCCACAGAGTGGAGACAGGCTGAGACAGGAGACACGCTTATAGTGCGGTTTGGTTTCAGGAAATCTTCCCTAATGAAAACAATAAAAGGACCGGATAACCCCACATGATAAGTTTTACAAATTTCAGATGTATATGAAGCACATGGGAGACGGAGTAGTGAGATGAAAAGTCAAGAACGAAGTGTGAGGAGAGAAGGTATATGAGGCGGCTGTGCTAAGACGTGTAGTATAAGTGATGATGTGATGGACGAGGATGAGAAGGAGGGGAGGGAGGAGGTGTGTGTGTGTGTGCGGTAAGATGGCGTGCGTGTGTGTGTGGGTGTGCGATAAAGTGTCTGATGATGTGATGAACAAGGATGAGAAGGACGAGAGAGAGAGAGAGTGAGTGAGTGAGTGAGTGAGTGAGTGAGGTGAGTGAGGTGAGTGATGTGAGTGGAGTGAGTGGAGTGAGTGGAGTGAGTGGAGTGAGTGGAGTGAGTGAGTGGAGTGAGTGGAGTGAGTGGAGTGAGTGGAGTGAGTGGAGTGAGTGGAGTTGAGTGGAGTTGAGTGGAGTTGAGTGGAGTTGAGTGGAGTTGAGTGGATTGGAGTGGAGTGGAGTGGAGTGTGAGTGGAGTGTGAGTGTGAGTGTGAGTGACAGTGAGTGAGTGACAGTGAGTGAGTGACAGTGAGTGAGTGACAGTGAGTGAGTGACAGTGAGTGAGTGACAGTGAGTGAGTGACAGTGAGTGAGTGACAGTGAGTGGAGTGGAGTGGAGTGGAGTGGAGTGGAGTGGAGTGGAGTGAGTGAGTGAGTGGCCGCAGCCATTACAATGCGATTCGCAGCCTGTCACAGTCATTGCTTTGCAAATCACAATGGCAGTAACGCACAGAACCGCCGGGGGCCCAGCGGCGACCACGCGCGCCGCAGCCCCTTCTGCAGTCTCTGGGTACTGCGCCTGCCACTGCAGGGTGCGCACATCCTGGCCGCAGTCATTACATTGCGATTCGCAGCCTGCTACTGCGCCGCAGCCCCTTCTGCAGTCTCTGGACACTGCGGAGAGAGCCGGAGTCAGTGATGGAGTGAGTGAGTGAGTGAGTGGTGATATCTTGTGTTGTGTGTGTGAATGAGTGAGTGAGTGAGTGAGTGAGTGAGTGAGTGAGCGAGGAGGGGGCGAGGAGGACGGAGGGAGGAAGGAAGGACGGATGCGGGCGGGATGGCAGCCAACAAAACTAGAACCCCACACAGAGATGTGGGGAATTGAACACATGTTACATATGCCATCTTTGGGAACTTGGTCACTTCGGGCCTCACTTTGCACTCCACTCAATTCTACTTTCAACATTCTTAGGCGAAACACCAAAGGCTTCTTGCCAGGCTTGCTGCCCCCAATGCCCAGCCGCAGCGTCTCTCCATGCGCGACCCCAACACCGGGTTCGCGAGTTGCCACGCCACCAACTGTGAGGACGGACCCGGTCTCGGGATCTCGTCCGGCATGGGCGCCACAGGGCGGGCTAGGCATTCAGAGTCGATGTCAGGTAGAAAGAAAAGACAAGAAAAGAAACACATGTAAACATTTGGTTAAACAAGTTTTACATGATTTGAGGTCAAAAGTACTGTACAATCAGCTTAGCGTCAGATGGAGTGGACTTTTCCAGCTCTTCGATACAACCCCCGAAAGATATGAGAGGATAGGACGGAGGGCTCATACTACTTATAGTAGGAAAGACGCTACTAGGGGCTCCTGGCCTTACTACTAGTAACAAGAAGCTACTAGGGGCTCCTGGCATCGCTACTAGGAGCATTCTTACTACTAGGAGCAAGGACGCTACTAGCATGGTAATTTTTCCTGTGGTGCCTCCGAGGACACCCTCCAGAGCCTCCCGTGGCGCTTCCCAGTCCAGAGCAGCTTCGAACTCGTCCAGGCCACCTGAAGTACAAGAAACCGCTACTAGTAGCTCAGTAGCTTCTTGTTACTAGTAGTATGAATGCTCCTAGTAGCGATGCCAGGAGCCCCTAGTAGCGTCCTTGCTCCTAGTAACTCGTAGTAAGGCACCTTGTTAGTATCTTCTTGTTCCTAGTAGTAATGCCAGGAGCTACTAAAAGCGTCTAGCCCAAACAGTTTTGGCTGCCGAATGATGTTGAAATTGAGAGTCATCCGTTCAGCCCACGTTCGTTTGATGTCAAAATCGGAGAGATCTGCTGCAGTCTAGTTTGCTTTGGCGCGGCTGGCAACAGTGTGCTGTGCCAGGAGGCGTTCTCCGAGTAGTGGTAAGCTGCCTGCCATGCCAGCACACGTGGCAAGGGCCTTTGCAGTTCTGGGCGGCGAGGAGTGGTGTTTGGGGTGTTTGGGAAAGGCGTACTTGGTAAGAAGCAGGTGTTTTCTATAGCATTTCTGTTTGCACAGGAAGTGGGTGTCAACAATCGTGTTTTTTTTTTTCGTTGAGTCTTTTGAGTCCAGCAAGGATTTGGAACTCAAGCAAATCAACAGATAAACATTGTGATCAACTGACTTTGGATCTTCCGTACAACTGGAGAACTCATCTAGCAATACTCACGCAGCAAAGACTTGGAAAGCTTTTCTGCTTGGATAGCTTGCGTGCCTTTGTTGCAATGCTAGCTTAAACGGGAGGCAATCACAATCACTTGAAGTGGCAAGGTGCAAGTGGTGCTTGCTTTACCATAAGCATGTCAGGACTGAGCCAAGTCAGGGCGCCACCTGAAGAGAACTTTGAAGTCGGGCGATGAACTGTTTGCCCTTGTCGAGATTGATTGATGTACATATGCTGTGTGTGATCCAAAGATTACAAATAAATACAACTGCCAGAGATCCTTCATGAACAATCCAGATGTAAAAAGGACACGTGCAGGATGTCAAAAGGATCCTTTAAAGGACCTCTCACTTCTACTTCGCTAAAATTTGGCGAGAGCCTGCGAAGACTGCTGGAGATTCTCAATCATTGGGTGCATTTGTTGCGTGATATCTTGTTTATCTATGTCCTTCTGCGCCGATGACACCAAAGGGTGTCATGGCATCAAAGAAGAAGAAGAAGAAGAAGACCACGCCCTTCATGGTCTTCGACCCCCAAAAACGCTGCGTCCAACTGTCTCTTGTAACCAAAACGTCGCACGTTCTAGGTATCAAGGACCTTTGACGATCCCATCGCGGTGAAGTGGGCACTGGAACGGGTGCGGCCTCCGATCGGTCTTCTTCGGAAAGAAAACAAAAACAGGGCGAGACGACACATGATTCTCTTCCTTGTCTTCTAGATTATTCATGGTTTCATTGGATGTTCCAATGCTTACTTGCCAAAGCTTCCTTTAGATCACTTTCCATAAGCCTCTTCTTTTTTCTCATTACTCTAAGGACCCCAGGTGTGGCGCGGACATCCGCCAGCTTCGTGGCCGTTTCAAGTTCGGGGGTGGGGCAAGATGTTTTTGATGCTACAGTGCCTAAATGGAGATGAAGAAAGGACACTTTGAGCGACAGTTGATGCAACATATATAAATGAGGGCGAACCTAGACGTCCCATCAAAGGACCTGATTACTGTAGTGAGGTTGTTTATTTGTGTCTTTGTCAATCATGTCCTTCTTTCCCTAAACACGCGCATTTTGAGTTGCCTTCAATGTTTGATATTTGCGGACCCAAAAAGTGAAGAAGCTCAACTAGGTTGGAGGTCATCACTTCTAGGTTGGAGGCCATTGAACAAGCTCAACTCATCACGCGGCCTGACGTTCAATGTTCCACGTGTCGAAGCTGAGGTTCCTTGGCCTCAAGCATCCAGAGCGGCAGGAACGAAAAGAGGCTCGGATTCCAAGATCTTGCAGACAGAAAGTGATCTGCAACACTTGAATTCACACCCATCACGGCCACTACATGTCTCTGGTGCTTCTCAGTTTATGTCTCAAATCGAATCTTTTCATTGGCAGGTTCAAGAGTGCAAACCACTCTCGTTCTCAACATTTGCTGCTCAAGTTCCTCAAAGAAGAGGGTGCTATAGTCGCAGAAGGTTTCATGTGGGCTTCTCCTCAGCTTGTGTTCCCAATCACCTTGCAAATGACCCAACATTCATGAAACACTTGAAGCATCACTGCCCCTGCGGCTGGGACAAACATCCTGATGAGTCTTGCCTAAAATCGCGTTCGATGCCAAGCAAAATACATCCAAACGCTGATCCCAATGTGGAGGTTGTCTCAAAATGAACTGAACTACCGGTGTTTGGCGTCCTGATGTGCCATATCCAGTTGAGGCTCTGGATTTGACAGTCTGGAACTGCAGACAGTTGGCTTACTAAGGACCCCAAACTGAGAAACCACCCGGCTGGGTCTGTCACTTCGTAGATCTTAGAGGTGTCCCAGAGTCTCAGCCCCACAAAAAATGGTAGGCTTTTTGCTGAAGGTGATTGCACATCATGGTGAATTGTCCACTGCAAATGGATGCACATGGCACCAAAATGCCTCCAATGACTCACACCAACCATGTGTTTCACTCATCTTCCGGCTTTGTTGCCTTGAGTTAAGAACAGAACAGCTGCGCAAGTTTCCAGCAACACCGGAGAAACCCGGACAACGACAGGCTCGGATGCGAGTGCGCCACACGCAGTTGCTGCTGAGGGGTGGAGCGCGGACCCCCCTGGAGCCTTTGGCGCTCCCCGACTGAAGGAGTGCAACGCAGAACTCCAAATCTCGACATCATTCTTCAGAATGACAGGCTTGTTTGTTTATCTTTGAACACCAAAGGCAGCAGATGTGAATTTTCACTTGGCACCTGTTAAGAATTATATGGAATTATGGTGATAAGATGGGATAAGTGATACATCGCTGGCAGAGAGCTTCTTGCTTTTGGTACTTAGGCCAGAGAGCTTCTGGCGCTCGACCCTGCCAAATGAAACCCTTCTACGACGGCTGAGTATTGTCTCCACCGAAGGAGCCTGCGATAACATTTGCTTCTCGAATGATTCGGGAGTGCTTTCGATGCTTTCATCTTAGGTGTTTGGATTTTATTGCGCCTTAGAGCTAGTAGCCACTACCAGCAAGATCTAGTTTTTTTTCAATGTTGTTTCTATTTTCCTTTTAAAGGAGCTTTTTCAACCTAAGTGAAGATTCGGACCACCTGGGATCAATGTGCAGGGGCTCGGCGTCGAGTTAGTGTGGAGTCGCCGTGGAAGCAATTGACCACGCGTGGCATGGATGAGGCTCCTTGCAGTCTTGTGGCATGCTTTTCTCTCAAAGAGTAAGCAGGTGTAATATGAAGCTGTGAAGCTGGCAGTTAATGATTCTGGTAAACAGGAACCGAATGAATAGTGCGAGCTATCCTGCGTCCTAGCCAGAAGCTTACCTCTTTACCTATATATTATAATCAAGTAGGCTCCTACTTAATGAAGTAAACGGCGGGCTAAAAAGGAGTCACAAGGACGCTACTAGGTGGAGGCCATTGCTATTAGGTTGGAGGCCATCGCTACTAGTAACAAGAAGCTACCAGGGAGAAGATCTTAAAACGTTTGCACACCATCCCCACTGCGGCTCCCAGTCCTACGCCTTGGGCCGTCGGATCGAGACGTGGATGTCTGAGCATCTTGGCAGCTTTATTTGGAAAGACCAATCTTGGACAACACCTTCTTCTTCCCTTGCACCCCTTGCCTTGTCCCTTCTTCTTCCTCTTTGCAGCCTTCGACTGGAAGTTCCTCAGGCAAAGCCTCGGAGACGAAGAAGAGGCGGACGGAGTGTGAAATTGGAGACGTCTGTTGGCGTTACTTCCCCTTTGCATTTTGGAATGTAATTTCATCTTGCAACAGATTCAGACTAGAGCCTTTGTCATCAAATACTCCACTAGCATGCCACTATAAAATGTCGATCCTTTGCCTCTATAACATGCAGTTTCCAACCCCCATTTTATAAAGAGTATAGTGGGTATGTGCCAAAATCAGAGGTTTGGATTCTCATTTTATAAAACACATTGTTTTGCTGCCTGAAGACGTTGAACGTTTCACCTTTGCTAAGATGGGAACTCAGTCGAGTCATTTTATAAACAGAGCGCTGGTGTTGAAGATTTGGTAATAATTAGAATGTAAGGAAGCTTTCTAGAAAATCATCTTTGGGGATCGACGAAACATTCAGAGGCTGTTTGGTCCATGAACCGTTTGTGGACAAAGGCCTTGGTAATTTGGTACCCCTTGTAGAAGCGAAATGTGGACCTTTATATCATGACGTTGCTTGATATCTTGACTATCAACTGTCACAGAGGGCTGCTTGATCATTTAAATTTGTAACAAAACAAAGATGCTCAAGGAATCTGACAGGAACATATGCCTGTAAGAGATCTTTATTTTATAAACTGGTTATTCATGTTATTGTGATTCTATCTTGGTCTTACCACAGGCCAAGTAGATGTTCATGGGGTATGTCATCAAGATTGTCGGAGACTACTGAAGACCCTTCCAAAGCAACTCCAGTCTGGAACCAATGAGAAGGGTGCCAAAAAGCACCCAACACCGGCTCACTGGGAAGTGCCTAGTGGCCTCCTTTGCAGGAAGTGCCAGCACTGGTCATAGCATCCCCAGACCAGCGCTCCACTTGGACAGCACGGGCAGCACCTCGGAGCAAGTAGCAGAAAGTCGCATGCGGAATCGAGACGTGTCAAACCAACGTGAAACATTGCAAGACCGCCGCTTGCTTGTGTTTGAAGTGCTTCGTGTATGTTCGCGTTAAGATTGTGCAGAGGGCACTGGGTGGTTCGAGATGACTTTTGAATCTTCAGGTCCTCCGTGGACTTTGTGCATCGCATGGGCAAAGTGACCCCATGGCAGTGCGCTTGCGCACCACGAGGGCCGCTTTGCGGGTGCCAGTTCAGGTGAGCTGAAATGAGTGAAAACGAACTGAAAAGACATGCATGGGCATGCTGCATGGGTTTCTCAGGACGAGGACGAAGATGCCAAGCAGGATGTTGCCATGGATTTGACGGAGCTACTTGCGCTCCGACCGGATGCATTGGAAGGCTCGACATCAAGGCTCCAGAAGTTTAGAAGCAACATGAAGCAACCATCACCTTTTTGTCTCAAGGCATGAAATATGCTTCCAGTTGCTAAGACTTGGGCAAAGTGTGGTAAGGGTACCATGATGGTTTGTAGTGTCAATTTGCTCAACATTCCATCAGCATTGCTTCCTGAAGCAGCGAAAGAAATACCAAGGGGTGAACTCGGGCTTATACCTGCAGCTTTGACACGAGTTTGTATGCAGCTGACGTGGCTCAAAAGCGAATCAGCGGAATGAAACAATTATACAGTGAGTAATATATATAAGTCTTGGAAGTCCTGCCTTGGTATGATTTGAGGCACTACCAAAGGTGTAGGGCACACGACCAGTGTCCTTGGGCGTGACATCGTCACGAATTGGCCGAAGTCAGTTTGGTATTAGGTTCTTGTGTCTAAGAGCTTCACTTGCAAGAAGAAGAGAAAGGGACGTTCATTCTTTATGTTAAACCGAATAGTTAGGGTATAGTATTACCCTTGCTTCTTTGTGCGCTGGACAGCCATGTCTCAAGATGGCCCAGCCAACAAAGCTTTCAAATGGACTTTCGCGGACCTATTCTCGGTGTGGTGCTGGCCTCAGTCCATCCTAAGAGCAATGGCCTCCATCCTAAGAGCCACGGCCTCCAACCTACTAGCGATGGCTTCCATCCTAAGAGCCTCCATCGTATGAGCGATGGCCTCCAACTGGTGATGGCCTCCATCCTAAGAGATGGCCTCCAACCTACTAGCGATGGCCTCCATCTTAAGAGCGATGGCCTCCAACCGATGGCCTCCATGCTAAGAGCAATGGCCTCCATTCTAAGAGCGATGGCCTCCAAGCTGCTAGCAATGGCCTCCTTGCTAAGAGCGATTGTTTCCATCCTAAAAGCAATGGCGTCTGTCCTAAGAGCGATGGCCTCTATCCTAAGAGCAATGGCCTCCATCCTAAGAGTGATGGCCTCCAACCTACTAGCGTTGGCCTCCACCCCAAGAGCGATGGCCTCAAACCTACTAGCGATGGCCTCCATCATAAGAGCGATGGCCTCCACCCTACTAGCGATGTCCTTCATCCTAAGAGCAATGGCCTCCATCGTAAGAGCGATGGCCTCCAAACTACTAGCGATGGCCTCCACCCGACTAGCGATGGCCTCCATCCTAAGAGCGATGGACTCGAACCTAAGAGCAATGGCCTCCATCCTAAGAGCAACGGCCTCCAACCTACTAGCGATGGCTTCCATAGCCTCCATCGTATGAGCGATGGCCGCCATCCGAAGAGCAATGGCTTCCAACCTAGTTGCGATTGCCTCCAACCTCGAAGCGATGGCCTCCAGCCTACTAGCGATGGCCTCCGTGCTAAGAGCAATGGCCTCCATTTTAAGAGCGATGGCCTCGAACCTACTAGCAATGGCCTCCATCCTAAGAGCGATTGCTTTCATCCTACTAGCGATGGTCTCCATCCTAAGAGCAATGGCCTCCATCCTAAGAGCGATGGCCTCCAACCTAGTAGCGATGGCCTAGATTAAGAGCAATGGCCTACATCCTAAGAACCATGGCATCCAACCTGGTAGCGATGGCCTCCACCCTAGTGGCCCTAGTGGCAATTGGAACCTGTGAAATTCCATGATTTCTGTGAGGCTCTCAGAATCATCATGGTCTATTCAATTGACACATTTTGGCATTGCTGGCGGGCCTTTTTGACCCTGCAAATCAGCACATTCATTCTAAGAAAAGCTGAGGATGGCTGCACTTGCGGCACTGGCCCTTGCACAACCATGGCTCTTTGCGCCAGGACCTCAGCTGAAATTGCCTGAACAGATTCTAGCCTGACGGCCAGCGCGTGCGCAGGTGGGTGGGGCCCAAGACCAGCCGATTTCTTCTGGTGACCTTAGTCTTCATGATGGGGATGACTTCTCAGCCGGAGGACGAAATGAAACGCTGTCAAACAATTGCCAGTCCGAACATGAAAACAAGAATGCTTCCTTGTGCCTTTCCTTATTCATTCCGTTTTTGAATCCTATCTCTATATATATATATATTGGTTTCATTGGGGAAGGTAGGCCATGAAGACCAGGCGGGCAGAGGGATAAGCTGTCCTAGCTTAAGTGAAGGCGGAAGGGGCTCGGGCTCAAAGAAGCTCCCCCGCGTGAGGGCAGGGAGAGCTCTGGTTCCTGGGGTGGAGGCCATGCTACTAGGGTGGAGGCCATCGCTCTTAGGATGGAGGCCATCGCTATTGGGGTGAAGGCCATCGCTCCTAGAGAACTCTGGTTCTTAGATGCTCCTAGTAGTAATGCCCTTTGCTCCTAGTAGCTTCTTGTTCCTAGTAGTAAGGCCAGGAGCTACTAGTAGCATCCTTGCTCCTAGTTGTTTGATGATTTTTGCCAGGACTTTAAAGCTTGTGTGGGAAAGGTGCGTCCATTGCTCGTGAACTTCATCGCAACAATGGCCGCAAATATGATCTTTACGTCTCGTTCATAGGTCGTTAAATGCCGCCGCACCGTGAACACTTCCAGGTTTTCAAGTTCAAGTTGACCTGCTGTGATCTGAATTCTAATGCGGCTAGTGAGCAAACCCTGCCGCGCCCGGCAAACAGATTACTGTAAGAACTCTGTACCCATTGCTTCAGGAAAGGTAGTTATGCTTCCGACTAGTGACTATAAGCTACTAGTAACAAGTGCATCGCTATTAGTAACAAGAAGCTACTAGGAAACAATATTAGAATTTATTAGAACTAAGTTAAGTTAAGTTAAATATTGTTTGGTTTCCGCTTGTTCGACTGCTGGGCCAAGAGGTTGGACGGGTCAATGGCTTCTTCTTCCTAGTAGCGATGCCAGGAGCCCCTAGTAGCGTCCTTGCTCCTAGTTGTTGACAGCTGGGCCTTGAGTCTTTTTGTGTTTTCCAAGGCATGCTTCGGTGCAACTTGGCAAGAACTGTATTAGTATCCAAACTGCAGGCGTAGACCATCCGTCTCCCCCAAGGCCTCTTGAAGAGACGAGACGTGTATGGGCAGAGTGAGCGAGGAATTAGTTATCATTGGTTCTGGTCACTTGAAGCTTTAAGTGCCAAGGTCTTGCCCGCGGTTGCAGTGGGAATTGGCCGTTCTTTGGACCTTAGACAGGCCATGAGCTTTGCCGAAGTTCCTTCGTCAAGGAACACATCCTTGCTGGTTGAGTTGTTTTCAGGACTTTTTGGTCGGCTTAGTGCTCATGGGCGGCGTCAATGGAGGCGCTTCGACTCAATCTTTAATATCCGGACATATTTGGAAAACACCTCGAAGTTGTGTTGAGGCTTTGCAAGGTTGCAAGTTTGTTGATCAGCTGAAGCTTCGCTCCAAAATGCATCAGCCTGGTGAGGATCGGCATCGAACCTCTTCACCCTGATCGCCGGTGGAGATGTCGCACTCTCTGTCCTCATGACCATCACCACAACGCTTGGGGCAGAATCTCATCCTAATAGCGATGGCCTCCAACCTAAGAGCGATGGTACTTCTAGAGTTCCGAGGTTGTTTGCACTCCACTGGTGGCTGAAGTCTTTGTTGGTGCCATTGTGCCAGTAGACTCCCTCGGGATGCTGCAGTTCCTCGACGTGAGAAGGATGGACTGTGAACCCCAACGGGAGCTCCTTCAGGGACGGACGAAGTGGTCGAAGGCGTTCTCGGCTGCGTTCTCGGCGGGTTTGGCTCCAAGTAGCATCCTTTTGCTACTAGTAGTAATGCCCTTGTTACTAGTAGCGTTCTTGCTCCTAGTAGTAAGGCCAGGAGCTACTAGTAGCGTCCTATTGATGGGATTTTTTCAGGTCAGCTGTGGAGATGGTTCTATTCCCAATCCTTTGTGGTGTGGCCACACGAGCAGCCTTGCCTCAAACGACCCTGAGATTGGATACTTGGCGACAATGCTGCCACACTCATCCATACTGTATGGCCATGTCTGAACAGGGTTCTCATGAGACTTAGGAACCTCTCATCCCGAACTTGGGACTCGGCACTGCACTTCCCTTGATTGGGGGCGTCCTTGCAGGTGCGTTCATCTCGTTGATATCTTTTGTCTTTTGCGTTTGTCCATCGTCTTTATTCGTTGGTATATTTTCTATTTAGATGCATTTATTTGTTGCATTTATTTCCTTTCGTTCGTTTGTGCATGTACGTCATTTGCTCCTCTCGCTGGAGGTAATGCCCCTGCGATTTTGAGCGCCGGACTTCGCTTACATTTGGCGACCCTGGCCTTCCACCTTGCTGCAGGCCTTCTAGGCGCAACCCTCCGTGGCTCCCACATCATTTGAGATCAACTTGAATTCACTAGCTCCCACTTACGGTCTTCTTTTTGTTATCCCTGGATTCTTGAAGTGTAGAAAGGTGGACTGTTTCGCAGATGTATTGATGGAATTTGATGAATATGATCCGAACTGCAGCCTTCCCAGGCTACGCAGCTGCAGCCTTCACAGGCTCTGATGAGCGAATCTGTCGGACGGTTGCCATTGAAGTGGTAACTCGATGAAGGTTTGAGAAAGGAACAAATTTACAGAAAACATCAGAAAACTATATATAGAATATAGACCTCCAAATAGATAGAAAAAAACACATAGAAGAGTAGATCCCCACTAAACATCTATTGGAAACCGTTTCTATCTATTTAGGGACCACTATAAATAGAACACATTTAATAAGCCTTGGCAAGCAAGTTATTCTTTTTCTCGCTTGACTTGCGGGAGGAAGCTCGGTCTGCCAAGGCGATGAAGAACAACATCTTTGCATGTTTGTTGGCCGCGGCCCACTTTGAGTCCAAGGCAGTGCAGATCCTTGCCGCAAGAAGCCAGTGGCATCCTGCCTGAATCATTGATGGCCAGATGGCCAAGGTATTCTTGTTGGCTCGCACCTGAGGATTCCACCTGCTACTGCCTGCATTTGGTGTCCGATCGTTGCAGCTGCCATGGCAAGCTACTGGAAGTCTTCCCTGCCACGAAGCCAAGCTGCATGACTTTTTGTGCTTTCAGGGGAGCTTGTGTTGATTTGAATGGGTTTTGATAGGTAGCAAAGGCTACAAAGTTCAAGCATGCTTTAGCTGCAGATGGTTGATGGAAAGTCTGAGGAAAGGTCAGTGGGGACGCTGCAGGAGATGCTTCAGCCTTCTTTCGCATGGCAACTCGTTAATCCGTGTAAATATCATCCGGCATCAACCTTTGATCACGAAGGGGCCCTCACAAGTCGTTCATCACAATCTCTTTTTTGACAAGATCGTTCAGATTTCATTGCACAATACTTTTTAGTTTCCTACTATCTTTGACCCATTGGGAGAACCTCCGCAATTGGACTTCACGAAACTCTTGGATTAAGTGATCAGATGACATCAAAGGTGATGAGGTCGTCCACTATGCTTTTGAATCTTAAAGCTCTTTTAAGTACTTGGAGCCTACTGGATCAAATCCTGAGGGCTGTGCCGTGGCCAGAATTTCTGAACAGCAGAACCCTGGAATAGTGATCTTGGAGCCGTTGCTTCCAGACCTATGCGGCTGCGCCCCTCCACCGGTTTTTATCCGGTGCTGCCTCCGAACATGTTGTTGTAGGTAGGAAAGGCCAGTGACAGCACTGCCAGAGGAGCTCCGTAGACATTTCAATCCACACACTTGCCAAAGGGCAGAGAGAAGACGTGTTAGACGGAGGAAATGCGATGTGAAATGCAATCCATCACAACTTGGCTTTCTTCAGTGGATGATCCTGCCAAATGCAAGCAAATTCTCAAAAAATAGCTGCTTTGTGGATCGCCAGATGCCAGCTGGCCGCGGTTGCTGGATGTGGCAGAGACAGCCAGCATCTTTGGTTTGCTGCCAAAAGGTCAGTTGGATCAGGCACTTGCTGGGAGCTCGTGAAAACATGCAGGGCGCATACAGAAACTTTCGAAAATGATAGCTAAGCTACAAAGCGGGGCTACATGTGGCTACCTTTTGTATTTTAATGCTTTGTGCTCCCGGAACTCCATTGATCAGTGAATTTGAGTGAAGATTTGTGTTGCATCGCTTGAACGTTTGTTTTCACGTTCTGCTTTGTTGGAGCAAACAAAGGAAGAATAGCTTATTGTTTCTAATAGCTTCTTGTTACTACTAGTAAGGCACTTGTTACTAGTAGCGTGGCACTTGTTACTAGAAGCAAGGCACTTGTTACTAGTCAGATCCTGAAGATCCACAAGTTTGGGATGCCAGGCTTGGAAGGCTGTTTTGGCTCCGGCCCACCGAGCGGCTCGAGCCTTGTGCGATTCCAAAGCTGCCAAGCGCGCAGGACCGCTGCCGCGAGCTAAGGGGTCGCTTTACATTAGCAAGGTCTCGAAGGTAGAGTCATTGCCAATTACAGCAGATAATAGGCAGAAAGCATCACTTACCAATTCAGGCTGAGACTTACTTTGGAGCCAGCAATGCTGTAAGCTTGGCATGTATTGGTTTGACGGTCACGAGGGGCTTGGAGCGGAACACGCATAAATCAATAAAGACTCCGGATTTGGCGTACGTATACTGTAAATCTACTGTGTTTTGCCTTTTGGACAGATGGGGATGCCAGATTGAATACGAAGCTTTCACTCTGACTATTGGAAGTTGAATGATAACGTTGCACCTAATTATCCAAGCTGCATTTGTTTCAGGCAGTCTCTGGAGCATACTGATTGAATCTGATTGATTCCTTTGGAGAGTCCTTCCAGGTTGCAATCAGGATCCCTTGGCAGCCACCAACTCAGATCTTTGGGAGAAAGGGACTAGGAACAACTGAGAAACTTGCCAAACGGACGCGGGCATATTGAGGTGAAAGGCTGCGACTGGTTGTTCTGCCAGGATTTTCTCTTCTCTGCTGGGCTTGCGCGCCAGAGACTAAGAAGCAGCTGTTCACAGTAGTGCAGCAAGGCTGAACTTGAAATTTAGGGTGTGATGATGATTCAGTGATGGGGAATGTTTGCATTGGCTATTTGATGTATTTCTATGGAAATCCCGAAATCCGCTGATACTCCCAGGCTGCAGTTGCCTCGTTTAGTGCGGTTGTGGCCGGCGCCAAGCAGCAGCCTTTTGGCACAGCCCTCAGGTTTAGCAGAGCATGCTTTTGCGAAGCTGCATGCAGCAATCACAGCACCACGAGATGTGATGGTTGGCGGTTGAAGCCCCCCTTTCTGGCGATGGTGCGCAGAGTGATCACCACAGCCTGTCTTTAAGCTGAAATCCATGGCTGGACAAATAGTGCCGCAACAGGAATCGGTGGATCAGACATCTTCCTTTCGCCCACAGTCATAGTATCTATATATAGCGATGCCCTTTGTTACTAGTAGCGTTCTTGCTCCTAGAAGGCCAGGAGCTACTAGTAGCTATTTTCTCCTAGTAGCGATGCCGTTTGTTACGAGTAGCGTTCTTGCTCCTAGTAGCTACTAGTAGCGTCCTTGCTCCTAGTAGCAAGGCCACGAGCTACTAGTAGCTATTTGCTCCTAGTAGTGATGCCCTTTGTTACTAGTAGCGTCCTTGCTCCTAGTAGTAAGGCCAGGAGCTACTAGTAACGTCCTTGCTCCTAGTAGTAAGGCCAGGAGCTACTAGTAGCTATCTGGCTATTTGCTCCTAGTAGCGATGCCGTTTGCTACTAGTAGCGTCCTTGCTCCTAGTAGTAAGGCCAGGAGCTACTAGTAGCTATTTGCTCCTAGTAGCGATGCCCTCTGCTACTAGCATCGTTCTTGCTCCTAGTAGTCCTTTGCTACTAGCAGCGTTCTTGCTCCTAGTAGTTAGGCCAGGAGCTACTAGTAGCTATCTGGCTATTTGCTCCCAGTAGCGATGCCCTGTGTTACTAGTAGCGTCCTTGCTCCTAGTAGTAAGGCCAAGAGCCACTAGTAGCTATTTGCTCCTAGTAGCGATGCCCTTTGCCACTAGTAGCGTTCTTGCTCCTAGTAGTAAGGCCAGGAGTTACTAGTAGGTATCTGGCTATTTCTGTGCTGGTTTAGCGTAGTTGCCGGGGTTATGGGGTTAATCCGAGGCATCTGCGCGGTAAAAACGGTAAAACTCGTTTTTTATTTTTTCGGGGGGGCGCCCCTTTTTCTCTACCATATCCGCGGTAAAAACGGTAAAAATCGAAC